AGGAGTGAATTCTAACCATGTCAAAACCACTGCAAACTATGATTTTAGAAAGTTGTCTCTTCTCCTGGAACCTCACCTGCAATGATGGTGTCACCCTCTGAATGAAGCTCTCCTTTCTCGATCCTTCAGCCTGAATCATCTTCGTCTTTCAAGTCCCCTCCCAGTGTTCTGACCCTCATCGAACATTCTCTGATCTGAACTCCTTCTGATGGATACAGGCTAAACCACACAGTTTACACCGAAACTATGTGGTTCTTCACCACACACTTATTGCATATCTGTTACATTTAGCAAGTGTAACTTGCCCTACCCTCAAAAGACATAAGCCCCGTATATCTTAATAAGTCTACTTAATAAGGACCTGCTTCCTGCCCAGACCTACCTCACGGCTCAGAGTCAGGTGTCTTGCATGCCCAGGTCGGGCTGCCTGCTGGAGGTGACACCTGTCCACTTTTAACCACCTCCACCACCCTCACCTTTCCAGAAAGCTAGCACACTTCAGAAGACCAACCAGAGTTCCGTGGAATAATTGTGAGATGCTCAATCATGGGGCATCATATAAAAACATTATACACATTCCATGTCAGCGTGTTGGACTCTATGCAGCCATGTCCACATGGGCCGGAGTAAATGTTTTTACATTACAATTCTTCCACAAAATTGGAAAACAATTTATTATAATTGCAAGACAATGAGGTTTCTTCAGGATATTCAAGTAATTTCTTAGAAATACTAGATTAAACCAGGGATTCCCAACTCTGGATTACAATCAGAATCACTTTGGGCCCTTTTTGAAATGCTGATAAGATTTTCAAGAGTTTGAGTCAGCTGATCTGTGGTGGACACTGGAATGTTCTAAATGGCTTCAGGTGATTCTAATGTGAAGTATTCATTCTTACAACTATTTCCCTAGGTAGGTCAGATGGTTTCATATGTGAAATAGCAAACTTTAGTAAGAAAGTGAAATGGGAGCATTTTCACTGTTGCACATTTAGAATTAATTCTATGGTCCTGTGAAAACTGCTTTTAAAAGGTTAAGACACCTGGTTTTCCATTAAAATATAACCATTGGACACAGAGAAGCTTCAGTTACCCTAAAATTCCATGCAAGTAGAATGTTTATTCTGTGTATTTTAAGGGTTTTATTTTGGAGGGGGAGAGGCATTAAATTATGTTTTGACCCCATTCCATCAAGGAGAATACGAGAAACAAGTCAGGGTCTTATTTCAAGCACATATTAGCTGTGTGCACTCATGGAAAATGAGAATGACTCTCAGGCTGATCTTACAGGAAAGCAATTAAAATTAGTGTTTTGATCTCTATTTATAATAAAGTAGATAGTAGCCCAAAGATTCTTGGTCATTTTTTGAATGCTTCTCATGAGGGAATATGCAAAGCAGAGTGAGGTAACTTGCTTTCCTCAAAGGAAAGCCCTGAGATTTTTTTTTTAAGCTTTATACTGACACATTTGCCTTTCATCACATTTTTCACTATAATCAAAATTTTCTATTTTGACCTTCCAGCTTCAAGATTAAGTTCTAAAAATGAAGAGTTGGCAGGATGGTTATACAAAGAAAGGAGGAATGTGGGTGAAGCAGTAAGTCAGATGCGATCCATGTTGTAAAAACCTGACGGTAATCTGTTGTGACATCGGCATTCCCTTGTAACACGAGGTGATGGGGGGATCTCGTAAACATTCGCCTCGTGTGCACAAGTTAGGCACCTCTTACCATCAAGAGGTGAAGAGTGGGAGGACGATTCCAGGACGACTAGCGCTCTGAGTGAGGAAACGTGAATATTCTTACACTGATTTGCCGGGATAGTGGCACGGAAGGACGCCGCGCCCAGCAACCACGCCCAGGTCTTAGCAGTGCGCGGGGTCCAGAAGTACAAATGGCTCCCCAAGCCGCACAAAGAAGAGGGGCGCGTTTCTTTGCGCCGCCACCCCAGGAGCCCGGGTCCTTTTGGACTAAAGGAACAGTGCAACAGTTCAGGCCTTCCGGGGAGGAGAGCCCGCTGGGACCAGAGCTGGGCGTCCCAGGCCCGCCTCTGGGGCGCCTGAACAAAGAAGATGCTCTTTGCACCTCGGCCCTCCCCTCCTCGCTGCGGCGAGGCCTGCGACTGACAATGAGGAACCGATTCCGACCCAGACGCCCAACGTGGGGCGCTGGGAATAAAGCGGCTGGTGTCCGCTGCGCTCTGCTCAGGGCTCTGGGCCTCTCTGGCCTGGGGCGGCCGCTGACATTTGAGGCCGCTGACCTTGGCCGTGCCGCCCGCCGGTCTTTTCTTCGGTCGCCGCCCCCAGTCTCACTACTGAGGCCATGGGAAAGGAGTTCGCCAGACAGAGGTCTGGGCGCCTGGGGCAGCGCCCAAGCGAAGCCGGAGGAAGGAGGCGCGGGGCCGCGTACACTGTCCACCCCTGCGCGCCAGGATCTGCAAAGAGGCCACCAGGCAGGGGAGGGAAGCGGCTAGGATGGAGGAGGTCGGGGATGGGGTGGAGGCGCTTACATCTGACCTTCCCCCAGGCCGTGCCCCAGGGCATTCGCCACCCTCCTCCTCTGCCTGGGCTCCAGAGAGGCTCACCCTGGGTCCCACAGAATTCCAGGGTCGCGTCGCCGGTGCCTGGGACCCCGCCACGATTTTTGCAGCGCTTGCCTTCCCTGCGCCCTACACCCTTGTACACATGGGCTCCCATGCGCCAGACCTAGATGTGGGTTAAAACTCCACTTCACAACCCCCATTGATATGAGATATGGGTTTGACATCTGTTTGCCAGAGTGTTTTGCACTTAGCCTAACACCCACTATTAAGTGACAAAATTGTGGCAGCCTGTCAAAGCCAGCTGACTGGCAGCTGCTCCGCTTACAAAAACCATTCAAATATTTGCAGGTTTTGAAGCTTTATGCAGTGTTGTACCCAATCTTTCAGTGATTTAACATGTAAAATATAAGTCAAAGTTTTAAATCTGAATTCCAAAATGTTTCCATTTTCCATACAAAAGGAAAAAGCTTTCAGGGTGTCTGCTGGAATGGGTCCAATTCCAATGCGCCTCGCTGTTTCCCACCGAGATTCCCGAGCAAACCCGGTTTTTAAAAAATGTCAAGGACCAAACTCTCTCTTCCTGTTGTTAGCGACATCTCGGATGACAGAACTAAATTACCTTAATCTCCAAGGGAATACAGTTTCTCAAAAGTAGATTTCAGAAAGAAATTAATCTCCAAGTAAAGAAACGCACCTGCTTTATTTTGCGTTTGACAGTTACACCAATGTGCCTTTGGGGGAAGCGAGCTCCTGGGAAGAGCGTCCTAGTTAACATCTGAGCTCGTTGGCAATTTCCAAGATATCACTAACTCCTCTCTCTGCACTTCCAAATAGCTTAGTCCGATTAAGAAATAATTTGCAAATGACACAGTGTTTCTCTGGATTAAGGTCCATTGAGTAAAAGTCATGTGGATTTTTTGTCTCCACAATTAGAGCCAGACAGACAAGGGTCTCCTGAAAACCGCAGCTGCGAGCAATGAAAAAAATTATCATACGTTTGTCCAAGATATATAGACTAGTGCGCACCCTCCCCCCGGAACCCTGAGGGCGCTGACAGGCCCTCAAGGTGCTCCAATGTGCTGGACTTGTACATCTTTATTTTTCAAATGTTGATAAATATCTTTCCTTCTCGTGTGAGGGGGGAGTAAGTCCTTTGGGCAAAACGTGGGGCCATCAGTTTCGTCGAGGCAGTTAGTTTGCTTTTGACACACGTCCGGAGAGGATCGGAGGGGCTAGTTTTAAGTCCGGAGGCGCTGACATCTTCACACAATTCAAGAGAGCCAGAGAGAGAAGGGAAGAGAAGCGAGAGAGACGCGGCTCCGGCCCGGGCGCCGCTTCAGACTTCCTCCTGCTCTGCCCGGGTGGGCGGCGGGGGCGGCGGGGGCGGCGGGGAGGGCGGCTCCGACTCGCCTGCAGAGGGAGTCAGGGCGTAGCGAGGGTCTGCGCCCCGAGGCGGGGTCGCCGCGCCTCCCCGCCGCCGGACTCCCCCCAGCCGTGCGCGCCGCGAACGAGGCCGCCGGGCCCAGGGGACTGTCTACCTGGAGCGTTTTGTGTCCGCAACACTAATCGTTAGACGCTGTGCTTCGTTCAGCAGCTGCCATTACTCGTGAAGGCACAGGGCGGGGGTGGGGGGTGGGGGTAAAAGCGTGTAGCAGAGCAAAAATAATAGTAATAAAAAAAACAGGCCCAAGTGTCCCCTGGGCGGGAGAACAAAGCTGCAGCTCCGTCCCGAGAGGAGGGGGCGGCGCTGACAACCCTGGGAAACGACCGAGGTGACTCCGGACTGCGGGTGGGGGGCTGACATCCTCCCGCCGAGAAGCTGGGAAGGGACTCGAGCAGTTGGAGACGAAAATCGGTAGCCTGTGCGATGACAGGAGTGACAACTATTTTATGGGGCGTGGGGGAAAGACTTCCAAGCCACTCGGACGGAGGCGCAGGAACAGGGGCAATTTTCCGGTCGCCGGCGTTCATTGGGCCCGAATCTGCCAGGCCAGGCCGGGCTGCGAGGGGGTGGGGGGACGGGGGACGGGGGACGGGGCCGGGAAGAGGGGGAGCGCGCGGCCTGCGTCCGGAGGGGAGAGGAGAGCGGACCGGGCGCGGCGCGGGCAGGCGGCCTACGCGGCTCCACCTCCCCGCTCAGAACGGCGTCGCAGCTGCTCGCGAACCAACTGCTCAATTCTATTCACTGTCGAGTAGGAACAAAAAAGTGGCTATTTATTAGAATACTTGTTTGCTATTGTTCGGCGCCACACAAAAGGCATTTCATTATGTGGAGGGATCCCCCTTTTTCCAGAGAGAAACAATAACTTGAAATTGTCTTTAAAGTCTTTTCTATCAATAATAAATTTCATTTTCTTGTCTCTCTCGCCTGCAGCGTGTGTGTCTGGGAGGGTGTGCGCGAGCGGAGAGAGAGGAGCGCGTGTGCGTGTGCAGCGAGTGTGCGAGCGGGGGGTGCGCGTGTGACTGCGCGTGTGAGTGTGCGTGCGCGTGGCGCCGGCGCCCGGGGCTGCGGTGCAGGCGCCGCCGGGAGCCGGCCGCCCGGGGTCCCAGGGCAGCGGCGCGCTCGGCGTTCGGAGCGGATGAGCCACCCGGCCCCCAGGAGCCCGCGGGGCTGGGGAGGTGCCCGCGGGCAGAGCGCTGGGGGCGCGGCTGTGCCGGACCCGCTGCCGCTGGAGGAGGAACTAACAGTAAGTGAGTCTAGAACTTGCGCGGGGGCTTCAGCCCACCCGGAGCTGGGGAAGGGGGCGGGAAAGGCGCTGGGAGGGGGCGCGGTGTCTCTACGGCGACTTTCCGCAAAGGAGTGTGGGGTGTCCCCGCAGCTTTCGTCCGCGGTAGAGAACAGGTGGGTAGCCGTGCTGACCGCCGCGGGCGGACTCGCGTGCGGGGGTCCATTTGTCATTTTCTTGTCTGTAGGTTCCCTCCTCCCCTCCTCCCCGGCTTTTTGGATTGGCCGCCGCCCAATGGACCAAGACTGTTCCTCTCTGGGTCGCCCTTTTAGGGGAGAGGGAGGGAGGTCGAGCCCGTCGATTTGGGGGAGAGGTTTGCGTCCGCGGCAGCTCCCCTTTTCCTCCAGCCGGCGCGCCCCCCAGCCCGCCGAGGCCCAGGCTCCGGGCTGCGCGCCCCTGCCCGCGGGCCGCGCGGCTTCTGCTGTCGGCCGTGCGCACCCGGCAGCGCGGAGAACTAAATCCGCGGGTTGAAATTACGTTTTAAAAATTAACATGTCGAGCGTGTGCCATTTAGTGAGAGGTGTTTGGGGCAAAGAATCAATTTAACTGTGATTGACCGACGGTCTTGACTGTGTTAATACCGCTACCAAAAAAAAAAAAAAAAATCAATGAGCAGCGAGCCTTTGACTCGCAGCGAGCGCCTCTGGACTCGCCGCCTGGCCGGGAACCCGGCCGCGAGGCGCACATCTCAAGGTGGGGTCCGGGGTGCCCCAAAGCCCCGCCTGCTGACTGGGCTGCCGAGATGGGGGTGACCCCCTCACGGGCACCCAGTCCCCCTTCTGCGCGTCCTCCCTCCTCCTGCGAAATGGCACCGGCTGGGCACCACAGTACCATTCCGCGCGCGCAGTCCCTGCTCCCTCTCTCGCGGGTTTGAGCCGCCCGAAGAGAAAAGGTCGCGAAGTTTCAAAGGTGAGATGGATTTTCGGAGGTGGCTGGCACTGCAGGGACGGGCCAGGCGGGGCGGCAGCCATCGACCGAGAACGGAACCGGCTAGCTGCCTCGCCTTGTGAGAAACAGGTGTTTGAACACGATAGCGGCCGCCAGTCAATTAACCCATTAAAAGCCAGCTTTTCCGCATTGATTTCCCCCGAGCGCGGTGGGGCCCGGGTTCTGGAAGCTCCTTTGTGAAGGGCGGGGCGCAGGGTCTACACTGATGGCACCCCACTTGGCGCAGAGGACCCCCAGAAGCCGTGGCCACCGCAGCAGGGCTCCCCAGGCGGCCAGGACCGGAGCTTTCCCTGGCGCTGGAGTTGGGGAGTGAAGGGTCCTGCTCTGTTCCCCACCAGGACCCCGACCTTGTTCCCCCAGACCCCTTCCCCAGTTCTGGCCTGGCGGGTCGTGACGCCTGAGGCAGAGGGGCCAGCACCCCGCGCCAGTCAGTGTCCTCCCACGCGCTCAACCATGGCTGCCCACCAGCGGTGAGGGCCAGGATCCACGCGGAGAGGAATTCTGCCCTCAGCCCGCCTCCCGTCCGTGATCCCAGGTTTCCTCCCCCAGTAGCGTCTGTCCCAGATGGGCGACAGGTCGGGTGCCTCGGCCTGAACATCTGCGCGCCAGGGAACGCCACCCGTGCTCCCTGAAGACGACCGAAAACCTCCAGGTGGCCTCCCGTTCGGGTCTTCGCTATCACCAGAGAGGTTGGAGCAAAAAGGCCGAGCCGGGCAGGCGTGGGAGGCAGCATCTGGGAGCAGGGGCAGGATTGGGATCGAAAGGAGGGGGCGTCCCTCCAAGGTAGCTTTGGGGACTGCGGGCAGCTAGCTTTGCTACACCCTGTCTCCCGGGCCACGGTCGGAGGGGACCCCCGGGCCCGCCGCGGGGCTGTCCTCCAGGTGGCGGCCTACCTGCGCGGTGGCGCAAGATACAACCACCCCGAAAGGCGGATGGTAACCAGCCTCTCCTCCGGGAGCAAATGCGCCTGTGTGTTTTGAGAGGTGAACACATGGTTTAGACAGCTGAAGCATGGAGAAAATGCATAGAGTTCCTACTCTGGACTCCAAATACCCCTCCCCTGCTGCCTGACGGGAGTCCTTTGTCCTTTGGGGGCCGCTCCCCAGAGCCATGGCTGCCAGCCCTGAGAAGTCAGTCCATGAAGGGAGAGATGGGGCCCAGCAGCCAGAGAGAAAATTCTCGGACGTTCACTGATTTTTCCTCACTGCCTAAGTTAAGCTCTAGGGTCCAAAGGCTGTCTAGGTCAGGGCTTTCTCTCTCTCTGATCAGCCAGACCTCCTTCCATCTCTTTTTAATGGTGGGTCACTCCCCAGGATGGTCAGTGCCCTGTTGTGGGGGGGGAGGTCCACTGGGGACCCTTGGGGTGGGCTGCAGATCAATCTCCATTCCTCCCGTCCAAGTCCAAAATCTACCACCCCAAATATCCATGGGTGAATAATCCAAGTGTCCTCTCCGAAAGGCCTGTGTGCCCAGGTAGCACCCGGCCCCCACCCCACCGCAGGGAAATAGCATTTCCCCAGCGAGACAGCTGGCTTCTGCCTCTGAGGTAGGACAAATGGCATTAAAATGGAGCCCAGGGCCCTCCCTCAGCTCAGCGCAGGGCAGCAGTGCTGGCTTTCCAGCCCCATCCCACGACCTGAAGGTTTCAGAGGCCCACTTCCTTGTTTGCTGTCTTCTGAAGTAAGCAGCATGTGCAGCTGGAAGGGCCTGAGTTGTGTCAAAGTGATGTTTTAATCTCATTGGAAAGTGTCTTAAAGAACAAGATGTAATTTATGGGAGATGCTCTGATGAGAGGAGAGATTGCAGTGGCTGGTCCTTTCACTCGTGTGGCCTCATGTCATGTTTATATTGAAGCCTGCGTAGCTAATCTAATTTGCAATAACAGGGATGGCCTGTAAGAAAAAGCATCTCTGATTTCACTTTATTCCTTTTCATATAGAAATTCCTTATGACTTGTCTCCTCTTGTGAGTAATGCCTTTTCTCCTGGGGACTAATGACAGAGAACACGAGAAAGGGCCACAATTTCTCAGAACTGCAGCTCTTTCCTGCACACACCCCTGGTCATGGGCTCCCTGGACTTGATGGGGACCCTGCACGGGCCTGAAGCACTATTTGATCCCTTCAGCATAAGCGTTGGTGGGCCTCCTGTGTCAAATCCACCTTCTCCCGGAACTCAGGGATGGGCCTGCCGGGCTTGTCTGTTGCACTGCAGGCGCTGGTTCAGTTTCTCCCAAGGATTTTGGCTTTAGAAGTTAGATTAATCAGACAACCCATATTCTCAGACCTGTATGTTCTGCAAATTCTAATTCAAATAGTTAGGAAGCTGCCCCCATTCAGGAAAGTCTGGTCTTTGCTGAGTCTTTATGCCATCTTAGACAGAAACCAAACACACCTCCCATTCAGAGGAGGGGCTGTGTATTCTTATCATTGCATCTAACACAAGCATTCTTTATCAATAAAAAAAAACTACAGGCGTTAGAAAATTACAACTTTTGTACAATGTAAAAAGGTGTATTCAAACTGTTAATTATGGGGGTTTGTGTAAATGAAACTTTTGCAGTGACCCATTTAATTTTGTGGTAATTACTGACAAAATAAGACAAGGATGAATCACAATACACTGTATTTATCTTGAAGGAGAATATTGCGCTTAGGGAGTTAAGCCAAGGAGTATGAAACAATTTAGGGGGGGGTTCCAGAAGTATAAAAAGTACATAAAAATCATCCTCTGAAACCGTTGAGATTAAAACCGCAGAGGCCCGGCTCAGGCTTTCTAGAGAGCTCATCCAACTCTTAGAGGCCAGCATTTTCTCCTCAAAATCCGCGGCTCCGGAAGCGTCTCGGCTCTGCCGATGCACCAGCTTGAGCACAACTTCGGCGGGTCCCAGCAATCTGGGAGGAAAAGAGCCAGGACCTCTTCCATCTCTGCTTCGGCTCCGGACACTCATCCCGGGGAGAGGAGGCTGGACAGACTTGACGCCCAAGCGGGACTCCCCGGTGACCCCCACACCTCCCGAGAGCACGGGCCGACTGTAATTGCAAAGGCGGGATAGGGAGCGGGAGGAGGGGGTCCCCGACGCCCCCCTGCCCAATTCGCACTCCGCAGGCTTCTCCCTTCCCGCTCTTTCGCAGGACTTTTAGTGACTGGTCGAGGAAGGCCCGCGGCCCGCGGGGTGTACTCGCCACTCTGGGTCTGCCGCCGCGGCTCGGGCAGCAGCTTAGCCAAGGCCAACCGGGCCAAGCCATTGGGCACTAGCCGGAGTCCCCACTCGAGCCACTTTCCCACCGAGGCCTGAACAATCGGTGTGGACACGTGAATGCCGTCAGCCTGCCCGGCCCACAGGCGCCTCGCTCTCTGCGCGCCCACCGCGCCCTCAGCGCCACGGATGCGCGAGGTCTGCCCTCGGCCGGGGGGCGCAGTGCCCTCCCTGCTGGCACCCGGGCCAGGCCGGGCGAAGGATGGGAGCCCGGGCAGAGCTCGTGTCCTTAAAGGCCACTCAGAAGTAGGCGCTAAAGCTGCGCTCGCCCAGCCCTCCGGCCCAATTGGTTTGGAGGAGACCCCAGCACCTAGGTGTACGGGGCAGGTAGGCAGGCCTGGCTGAGATTCTCCTCGGAAAGTTTCCAGCGAAAGAAGGGCCAGGCAGGTGGGGCGGCAGAGGGAGCCAGCGCGGGCGGCAAGGCCTGGGCCACCGGCACCCGCGCCCGCGCCGCCCGGCTTCGCTCCCGCCCCGCCGCCCTCCCTGCAGAGCGCCCGGAGATCCGCCGGGGCGAGGGCGCGATGCTCCCCTCGGGTCCCAGTGTTTTCCTCTCTGTCTTCTCTCTTTCATTCATAAACCTGGTGGCTACAGACGCAGCTTGAATATTGACGTCTCTCCCCCAACGGCTCCGCCGTTAACCCAATTACAGAATTCATCAAGAACTGTGTTGAATTATCTCTTTCCATACAGTATCAGCATTAGCCTAATTAAAAGCTATAATGTCTGATATAATGATTAAATCGTTAGCTCTGCTG